ATGTTGAGACTTGAGAGTTAGCAAGTTCTCTTTAGTATTTTTTTTTTTTTTGATATCTTTAGTAATTAAGATTTTACATATTATGTCCTTCTGTTTTCTTTTCTTCTCTTTTATACACTGAAATTCTCTACAGTTCTCCATAGCTACCTTTGGCTGAATCAATATATGTGGACTAAAAACCCAACTGGAGGCAGGTGTGGCTACAAACTGGTGTGAGTCATTCCAACATCACTTGCTTTGGCATCATGACTCCAACACGATGGGACCATAAAAGAAACAAGCCAAGTGGAAGGTGAATTAATCCACATCCCAACTGTGAACACCCCATTTTTACACCCCCAAAACCCTTTTATTAATTTTGTTTTGTGAGCTTGAGTCTTGAGAGAGAAAGAAAGTGGTTAGAGAGAGAGAGAACTCACCCAAAACTCAATGTACCAAGCCTTAGCCTTCAAGTCATGGCCCATTCTTTAGTGTTCAAAACCCTAAATCTAAGTCCATTACCCTCACAGCCCATTTATTAAAGCCCACAATCTTTAAGCCAAGCCAGCCCATCACTGTTGCCTATATAAGGAATGAGATAGGGTTTAAAAAACCCAAAGCTCATTCGGTTGAGAGCCAACCCCTTTTCTCTCCCGATCTCTTCTCTTTTTTTTTGTCTTTTTCTTTCTTTGGTGAAGACTGTAAAGAGCCAAGAGCATCCCCCTCAAGCTCCGGCGACTTCCATCCCTTTCGGCGAATCCCAGCTCCATTCCTCTCTCGAGCTCTCTCTCCCATCTCCTTCTCTCGCCGGCGAGGGATCCGATCAGCAGCAACAACAACTCTCCATCTCCTTCAAAGTCTGCCACGCTCTCATCGCCGACGATAGTGGCTCAGTTCTGGCCAGATCCAGCACCTCCTGATCTCTTCTCTCCTCAAATTGGGCAGCTGCTCCGGTCATCTTCTCCGGCCAAGATTCACCTCATCCAGTACCTCTGACCAGCAGTTACTTCCGGCGAAGCAACCAGCCACCATCTGCGACATCCCTCTTCTTCATCTTCTCCGATCAGTCCATCTTCTTCTCTCGCCGGCAACTCTAGCGCACCAGCTCTCCTTGTCTCCCGTGGATCTGGCCAGCAGCTCCCTCATCACCACCAGTCCGATCATCAATTCCATCGGTGAATCACTACTATCGGCGACAACAACCCCCACTTTCAACCTCAGAGCAACTTCCGGCCAGCAACACCTTTGCCAAGCTCGATCACTAGTGTCGAAAATTCCATCATTGAGCACCTTCCCTGGCCAGATCGAATCCGGCCAACTCAACTCCTCAGGTGTTCTCCTCGTCCATCGGATCGCCGGAGTAGCAGCATCATCATCGCCACCAATCCTCGTCCCTACAACCGCAGGTATGCTTTATCCTTCTTCTGATTTTACTTTTTTCTATGTTCATATGTTTGTGCGGTTATCTGGATCCAACCAATGTTGGATCATGTTCCTTGTTGTTGCATGATAAATCTTGAAAGAAAGGGGAGGGGGCTGTTATGTTTGGTGTTGGTTTAATTGTCTAGAGACTAGTTTCTCTTGGTCTGGTTTTGTTCGAGATTTGATTTCAGAATTAAGTTTTGCCCAAAATCAGAATGCTATAACCCCTGTGATTGTATTTGGCATAAGATCATTAATGTATGTAGTAATTAGTTCCTAGATTGTTTTGCCAAATCCAATTTCAGCTTTCGTTATTGAGCCAAAGCTGGTTAATCAAGTTTCATCATTGGTTAATGGGCCTTGGCACAATAGCCTTGGCCTCCCCTTAGTCTAATCCTATTTAGTTTGCTTAATAATTTGTCGTAATTTAATTTATCTGTATAGATTTTAGATCCATGTGTATGTATGTACAATCATAGGATTTGGCCGTAAGCCTTATTTTCTCTTTTGCCTACCTTGGGCATCTAGGTTAGTTCTTGACTAGTTAAACTTGCCAAAATTAAAAAAATACAAAAAAAATCGAAAAATACAAAACAACAAAAACATTCAAAAAACCCACAAAATTCAAAAAGGACCTACCCTAATAAATGAACGCCCCCTAGAGCTCCCCCACGAGCACCTAGCTACGCGACCATCTCCCGGAATGAGATTCATAAATCTCAATTCCATTTCCCCTCCCCCAACTCAAACACGAGTTGGATGACCACACTCCGAAACGAGTATAAAAACAGTCACGGACCCCGAACTACTATGAGGGTCTGATTCCGACTAACCGGATAAGTAGGCAGCCCGAGCCAGGGTTCGACCCCAACCAAAAATAAAACTTTTACACCCCATATTGATTTGTGTTTGATTAGCAAAATTAATAATTATTTAGGAAATTTTAAGTGATTTCAAATGTTTGGCTTGGACCTAATGAGTAGGTTACCATCATTGGATGGAGGTCCTGGGGTGCCTAACCCCTTCCCCAGGACCTAAAGGGATCTCTTACCTAGACTACTCTGGACCGTAGACCCCCTTATTTTGGATTATCTCGGGATCCTACTTCCCCTAAGTAGGTGGCGACTCTTAGAATAAATTTAGCGTTGTTCCTCTACTCTCGGACCTTATCTCGACACTTAGAGTTGAGAGGGGAGGAAAGGCGGTAAATTTATGTGTTTACACCAACATCAAAAGGAACACTCTCGAATATGAGGTGGATAACCCAACTCTTGACGGAACGGCAGAAACAACATATATAGGGTCATTCTTTAAGAGAAATAGGGCAACAATTAAGTTCAAATAAATATTGGAATGATATTCTAGAGAAGATCCAAACAAGAGGCTAGCACCCAGTGTATTTCTTTCATGATATGTACCATCCCTTCTGAAGGGTGATAGAAAATAACTCTCACTCTATGTATGTCGCAACGTTGCAATTGTACCCAGAATATGCTTATGCATGATGCATCAACATAGAGAAAAATGATATGTACTAAAATGCAAATATCTCAGACGATGCATGTTTGAAGTTGAAGTCTAAAATCTCTCCAAAACAATTTTTTCTTCTGCATTTTTGTAACAAACTTCTCTTCTTTGGCAGCATAGGGTAGTTTTAGCTTTCAACTATTCTGGCCCTAAATCAAGCCTTATAAACAATGTTTTGAATCATCAGCTGGCAGGTCAAAGCAACACTGCTTGACATATTTGACACAGTTATCATTTCTTTCTTCACTCAAATCAACTCTTTCTTTTTCAAAGAAGCATGTATATAATCAAACAATTAAAAATGCATATTTTGGAGAGAAATTCTTCTTATGCAAAAATTGTAGCTTTCATTTCAATTTTGATTCCTTCACCGTAAATTCCTCCAATGAAAATTTAAAAATAAATAGATAAAGATAATAATGTTTTCATGATTTCAGTTAGAATTGTGTTTTGGGGTAGTTTATAGTAACTTTTCCTATTAATTTTTCTTCTTTCAAGTTTGCCTCACTATATTTAATGTCTAATAAACTGCTAAGTTTTTTTAAGCTATAATATCATAGATAGAACATTAGAAAGTGAAAACAAGCACTCAAACATTAATCTTGTAAAAGGAAAATAGAAAATTTTAAACAATCAATGACACGCTATAATATCAGGTGATAGAATGTTGCCATCAACTTAACCAAAAAGATCTTGTGAGATGAGGATTGGTGTGATTTGGCTGTGTGACAAGAGGAAATTTGAACCATCAAGTTTGATGGAAACCAACTGAGAGATGTTGGAGATGTTGAGGAGAACTCAAGAGACCACTACTTCATCAGCAGAAGAGGGAGTCTTTGGTTCAGCCGGATTTGCCATATCGGTGGTTTTGGAATTACGCCCTGATACCATATGTGAGACAACCAATAGGTATTGTTGTAAAGCTTGATAACCCTATTGTGGGTCGGCTCATATATATTGAGAGAGATAACACTTACAAAATGTGGGACTCTTTACAGATAAGAGATAAGCATTACAGATAAGATTTCATTGGAGAGTAGATTAGAGTAACTTGAACTCTATCTTTACTGAGACTATCAACACTATTACGAGTAAGTATAAGAAAGCCTTATGTTTTTGCTTGTATTGCTTATGTTCGCTATAGATTCTATCTAGTTTATCTTTTGGTTCATATTCTTAGTGAACTGTCCTTATGCCGTTTCTCTTCAATTTATAAATATAAATCATATTTACTGGAAATAAAAATCAGCATCACTAAACCAAATTGACAAAACTCAAGATATGTGTTTTATTCATAAATCATACACATCAAGAATAGGTAATATGAAGTTTTCTCATGTTATAAGGGGAAGAAATGAGCACGCTCATAACCTAGCTCGGAGTGCTGTTGGTGACTCTAATCTTGCCAATGAGTACCTGATCATCATTGCTAACTATGCTAAGAATTTAAACATCAATGGCCCAGCCTTAAGATCCAGGTGGCCAGCAGCTGTAAATGTGTCGTTTGCTGGATTGCAAAAAAAATACTGATGTTCATCAAAAAATAAATAAATAGTTCATACTCATCAAAATATACATGCATACATCATCATTATATATATATATATATATATATATCAGACTATAAATTCTATATCTCCCCCTACTTTCCCACACTTAGGTGGAGTTTGGTAACACTAATTTGATAAGCCTCTAAATAGGTAGAGATTAATTGAAAATTGTGCTTAGTTGGACTTTAGATTGTTAAGTTGAAGGTTAATTGGATGTCTACATCTTTTTGAAGTAGGGGTTTTACCACTATTTAAAAAAGTAGTTATGCATGATGGACTCCCTTGAAAAACATTGGCGCGTATGTAAACGAGGTGCTCTACCTAACTGAGCTATAGCCCTTGTGCTTGTGATAGATAATTTATCATGTAGATAATTTCTTGTCAAGATGAATATTCCATGATCCCACATGATAGCTCTCTGATCTGGTTCCTCCCAAGGATTGGTATTGCTTAGAAGTAATATTACATTTATAATCCATCGATGTGATGGGTCCCATTTGTTTTTCTTTGCGATGATAAAGGAGCTACTTAACCCAATGGTTAAAGTATTGCTTTCATACGGTAGCAGTCATTGGTTCAAATCCAATAGTAGGTAGAACTTATTAGATATCGTATGACTACTTTTTAAATAGAGGTAAAACCCCTACTTCAAAAAGATGTAGACATCCAATTAACCTTTAACTTAACAATCTAAAGTCCAACTAAGCACAATTTTCAATTAATCTCTACCTATTTAGAGGCTTATCAGATTAGTGTTACCAAACTCCATCTTAACCTAATTTTTTCAGCCTATGGAAAAAGTTTCACAGCATATCAACAATACTTATTATTCCCCGCCCCTAAACCATGTTTACTCTGATCATCGACATGAGAGCTCGTTTGATTGATGTATTACCCATTTTGGAGGATCCAACTAGAAGGTATCCTGTTTAGGCAAGCATTGCCATTTGAAGGATCCCCATTACTGTTCGACCTGTTTCTAACAAATCAAGAGCACATCAACTCAAAAGCAAGAGATTGATCAAAGGATAAAAAAGGGGTTCGGCTTTCTTTCTGATTTAATCAAGAACAACCATTTTGCCTAAATTTAGCAACCATAATGAATCATAACCAGTAAGATGCTCAATAAATACACGAATTCAACCCAAAACCTCAAACAACAAATACCAGCAAGAACATGAAATTCAGACATGGAATGCCAGCACATTGTAATTGACAAGGAGAAAGAAAAAAACGAAATTACACAAGAACCATGAATTCGTAAATACAAGAATTCAATACCACAAAAATAAAATTATAATAACCTTTGTTCTTTTCTTTTCTTTTTTTGGATGAGAAATTGCTGATGTGAAACGAACGCGAAAGGGCTTCTCCCGGTAGTTTTACCCGAAAAATCTCGACACTCGATTCAAGCTTTGTTTCCTTCCATACTTTTCCAATTTCCAAGGGGTTTTACCATTGCCCATCAAGTTTGGGTTTGTTCTGAAATTACCCAACTTTTAAAAATGGGAAATGCTTAGGGCTCGTGGATACACTTCAGTTTTTATTTTTTGTTTTTAAAATTTTGGAAACGGCTTTTTGTTTTCAAATTTTTTTTAATAGGAAACACGTTTGATATTATTAATTATTACTTATTTTTTTTAAAAAAAAACAAAAAAAGACATTTGGTAAATATGATTAAATAATTTCAATCCATGGTGGTGGTAGTGGTGAGTAGTGGCGAGTAGTGGCGGTGGGTGTAGTGTGATGGTGGTGGTGGTGTGGTGGTGGTTGTATTGTGGTGGGTGGTGAGTAGTGGTAGTGGTGGTGGTAGTATTGTGGTGGCGGTGATGGTGGTGGTTCTATTGTGGTGGTGGGTGGTGAGTAGTGGTAGTGTGGTGGTGGTAGTGGTAGTATTATGGTGGTGGTAGTAGTATTGTGGCGGTGGAGGTGGGTTGTGAGTGGTGGTGGTGGTGGTAGTATTGTGGTGGTTGTTGTAGGTGGTGGTGGTGATGGTGGGTCCGTGTTTTCCATTTTTGTTTCTTGTTTTCGAAAACAGATAGTAGAAAATTTTGTTATCTTGATTTTCAAAAATTTTGTTACTAATTTTTAAAAATAGAAAATAGAAACATGGTTTGTGTAAAAATTTTCTAATTTTTTAAAAAAATAAAAAACAGAAAACGGAAGTGCAACCAAACGGGACCTTAACAGCTTTTTTTTTTTTTTAACCTACATCAGGGTCAGCCGGTCAGAAGTTAGCAGGGCAGTGGAGTTCTTGCTGCTCGTACTGGGGAATTGGATCCCCATACCTTCCCCTTGGAAGGCCACACCCCTACCACTCAGGCAAGAGGCGGGGTGTTAGTGCCCCATTTGACTATGTTTTTTGTTTTTTTTTTTGGTCATTGTCCATGCCCCCTTTTTATCACACATCCATTGTGGTTAAGATTAACTCACTCCTAGCTACAGTTAAGCAATTTAACCTTAGTTTTTTTTATTAAAAAAATATTAACTTTAATTTTTTAAAGCTTAATCATAGTTAAAGCAGTGTTAAAAGAGACACGTGGCCATGCCATTTGATTACATTGTCAAATGTGTGGATTGTGGTGTGCTAATCATTGCCCTTTAAAAATCCTTCCCATGAAATGCTTATGAGCATTTTTCATAATTCAACAATTATAAAAAATCTTAAATACTTATCTACTATCACTTAGACCATCTTACACTTTAAAAAGAGTTTTTTCTAAATTTAAAAAGAAGAAGAAGAGGAAAATATGAATTTACATACATGCATGAGATGGAAGAAGTTTCTTACTCTCCTCATCTTCCAATTTCACTAAGCTCTTCATTCATTTTTTTTTATTTAATGAGTGTTTTAGTACAAATTTAATATGAGTGTTCCTGAAGAAAACGAAAAGTCTACAAAATTCTGAGTATTAACGAAGTTTTTTGCGCACAAGATCGATATCGGTTGATACACGTAGTCAATACATTTACTCAATACTCATATCAATTCAATACCTATTGATACATATTCTAGATACTCATATTGATACATATCGATGCACATCGTCTTCAACCTTAGAACATAACCAGTATTGATACAAAGTATCGACCCAATTTGTTGAGTATTGACCTCACACTATAAACTATAAAAAAAAATGAAAAGAAAACACAAATAAAACTATCTAACGTGAAATTTAAGGTTTAAAATCATAAATACAATGACTATAATCTTTTTTTCCTTAAGTTAAATTAATTCATTTTAAAAAAATCACAAGAAATCCAAAAATGAGTGTTTTTTCTTCAGTTAATGTAAACTCTAACCATCGTGGTTACTAATTTAGCAAAACAAAGCTTTCCTGTAGAAATTTTAATCCAAACGGTAGGTAATGAAATGTTGGGGGATTCTTCTTGATCAATGAAATGACTCAATTGTTGATAAGGAAAGAAAGGAGCTCTCTATGGTTGATAAGGAATGAAGGGGACACAAATGTCTTTTCTTCAAATGATTTGAATAAAATAGTCCAAAATAGAAAGAAGTTTACATGCGCGAACTCCCTCACATGTGTGGGGGCATTCAAAGAAGAGTTTTTTAAACTTTGGTATTTGGGGAACAACCCCAAACTTGGAAGAGTAATCAGGGGAAAACCACAAATTCTAACTTGCACAAAATTGATATTCAACTAATCAACTTGTATTCCCTTTCATGTTAAAGAACCTAGGTTAAAATTCTACGAACCCACGCTTGATACTCCTAGTTATGTTTCATCCAGTCTGATAAATGCTACCCGCAGACGCAGACTTCCAAACTCTCACGTGGTGGTGACAAATGTCACTAATTTTTTCTTTGTGGTAATCTCAACTTTGGGTCAGCTGGCCGGGTTAGTATTTGTTCCAAAGGCTGTGGATTAATGCCTAGCATTAAGCTTGGCTGCTTGGCTAAGAAGGTGGATGCAAGTATACAACCATCACACCCCCGGGATCGAACCCAGAAACCTAGTCCTGTATGAGAGATACACTTACGAACAAGCCCATGGTGTATTCCCGTTACCAAATCATCAACTAACTCTTTTTTCTTAAACATGTAAAAGAATAGCAATGCCATATATTGCACCCATGAGAGTTTTTTTTATTCAAGGTAAACATAACACACTATCACACGCATGCACACACCCTTGTAACACAACCTACCGCAACCACACAACCCTCTCAAAAACAGAGAGAGGAGTGATGCTTTGTAAGGGTACACAAGGAGACCTAACCCACCGGTGTGGGACTAAGGAGACCTACAAGGGTGTGTGTGCGTGTGAGTGTGTGTTATGTTTACCTCTAATCAAAAAAAAAAAAAAAAAACATCCATGAGAGTTTGAAATATATATATATATATATATATCATGCAGTCAGACAGACTAGCACTCCTCGTCCGGTATTATTACAAAATTGTATTATGTACCTTAATATCAATATAATTTAACAGATTTTATTTTATTGTCTATTTTTTAGAGAAATGTTAGCCCAGACTCAAACTTCCAAAGTCTCGGAGTGGTAGTGACAATTATCCCTGCATCTCCCTATTCCTTGTCGCTAGTTACATCTCCCTATTCCCTTGAGAACTTGTGTAAATCATAACTCTCTTTTATTTAAAACTTTAGTTTTTTAACCAACTGAAGGGATAAAAATGCCACTTGTTGCTACTACATAAGACTTTGGAACAAAAATTGAATTGTGAGACTAGGCTATCACGCCTCTCTTTGTTAAGTATATTAATTCTTAATCTTGTACTCATTAACTATAATTATTGAGAAACAATCAAACCATTCAAGCAAAAAAAAATGAAAGACTCAAATCCCCTACATGTCATTCCGTTAAATTCAATTATAATTAAAAAAAAATGCAACACATGTATTAGAAGCTTCAGAAGCTTCTTATGGTCTTATGGTTACTTTGTTCTCAGCTTTCTATGTACATAAGTCAGATATCATTAGTTAGTTGGTTAGCTTAAGTAGTTAGTTAGACAGTTATTTCTGTTGAGTCAATTATACCTGTTTGTATATAAAATCAGTATGTACAGATTTCTGGAGGTTAATGAGAATGTTCAGCAAATATTCCAATTTGTAATATGGTATCAGAGCGATATTTGCTTCCGCATTTGTTCTTGAATTTCTTTGGTTTCTTAACGAATTGAAGATCATTTCTTCAATTCTTTCTTTTTGTCAACTTCTTAGTGTTTTTTCTGTTCGTATTGATTTCTAAGCTTTGAAGCTGCTGAAATGACGACAGAAGGTGGTTATGTTGAAAGAGTTTCTGGTGATGTACATTCATCAAGTGAAAACTCTAGGTTGCACAATAGTAATGAGAATCATTCCAATCCCTACTTTCTCAGCAATGGTGATTCACCAGGTATTGCTCTTGTTTCTCAGCATCTTGTAAGAAGTGAAAACTACAATACATGTGAAATTTCTATGATTGTTGCTTTAGATGGAAAAATGAAATATGGTTTTTTCAATGGTGAAATTCAAATGCCTGCAACTACTGATTCGTTACATAGTTCTTAGAAAATGGTGAATAGTATGGTGATTTCATGGATCTTAAATTCTATTTCTAAGGAAATTACAT